TTGGGGAAATTAGTTGAAAATTAACAAGTTAACTTTTTCAAGATTTTGATCGAGTCTTCACTTCTACAGTTGCACTACTGGGTCAAAACATTGCCTTTGGTTTCAAAAGTGGCATCAAGTATCGATTCGAATATTGTCTTGGGCATCGGTATTGATATTGAAATTCTATTATCGAGTCAACCCTAGTACAAATTGGTATTGGAACGTACAGCCAGGTCCTACTAGAAATTCCTGTTTCGCTTGGAAATTCACAATAAATACCTTTAAGCTGCCAAGAGTAACACAGATGCCGTAGGTACAAGAGATGCTTGCAATAACACCAAGTGGAAAAATGTTTACATATCGCTCAACTTTATTGAAAGAGATGCGATGCAAACAGTGGAACGGCCTTACCGAAGAAACAACAGCCTATATTTATATTTCCTATAGTATCCTCTTAACTAAGGTTGGGCAAATAGACTGTATTCTTGTACACACACACACAGATATAAAACTACGAAATGATAAAAGACAAAATAAAATGCAAAAGCTGGGTTTCCACAGGTAGTTTACAGGAGATTTATGTGTAGTGACTTTATATAGTGGTATACAGAAACCAAGGTGGCAACAAGCTTGTCACAAACTAACCAAAACAAGGCTAAAAAAGCCTGAAAATCTAATCAAATTTAATTTAAAAAAACAAAACAAAAAACGTTAACTGAATTCCAACAATGTTTATTCACATGCTACCTAAAAAAAATGTTATCCACTTTGCCTGTTTAATAAGAAATGTCATGATCTACCAGCAGGTCACCCACATTAAACCATTTGGCAGCTCTTGCTGCTTCATTACATCGTTCTGCTCCTGGGAAAAATTTTCCTCATATTATGCAGAAGCTACAAGACAGAACTAATAAAACTGTTTGTGCTGCTCCTCACACTTCCTCACATGTATGCACACATACACACCTACAGACCATCCCTCCTCCCAGTTGTCTTGCCTGGCACCAGTTTCCACTGACACAGATGGTGTAAAAGAGAGATACACCGGGAGACAGACAGACACAGAATGGCAGCGTCTGATGCTGCAACCTTATAATGGGTCTTTACCTTCTTTGCTTTACATGTACCTGCTTCATATATCTATCCATCTGCCATCCACCCATACCTCGTTTCTCTACAGTGCCTCCATCTATCACTCTCCACCTCCATCAATCCCTCTATATGGACTCTTAGTACAGCCTCAGAGCTCCAGGCAACAGTATTCATCTATTCAGTCCTCATATTCGTCATTCAACATCATTCCTTGTATCATGACCTTTTATTAACTTCTGAAATGTGACCTTTGAGTAATCCATCTCTCCCTCTCTCCAGCCACCCACCTCTCCTCCTGCTCCACCTCCAGATAAAGATGCCTTTTTTTCTTCTTTTCCATCAGAACCTGTCTGTTTGTGGAGCTTTTCAAAGATTTAACCCAGACTTTCCTCCCCTTACAGGATCAATAGTAACGTAAACACTCACCAGCTGCATGCCACAGATGAAGGCCAAGGTGCACCTGCCACTGCAGCACCCCATGATGTCCTCCTGGCTCTCTCTGGAGGTCCACGTGGAGCAGAAACTCCCCAAGATCTCTCCTTCAAAATCCAAAAGCTCCCAAAGGGCCGTCTGGCTGGCCTCCAGCCCAGGTAGAAGCCCTCCCTTCTCGGGCTCAGAGGACAGGGTACCAGCTCCCCCCTTGTACTCTCTGGAGCTGAAGGGAATGAAAGGCAACTACTTAAGCCCGTAACAGTACGTCCTTTGGGGAGGGGGATGATTCAAGTCCACAGAGCTGGATATGTAGATAAACCCTCTCCAAGCCTCAGCAACTGAGGGCACTTTAGTAGCCTGCTAAATCAGCTGCATTTCAATACATGTGACACAAACGAAGTCAGATCCAGCTCCTTCATTCATTCATCCAGCAGAGGTTACAGCGACTTTCCAGTGATTTCTACACAGTTTGCACTTGTCCAGACATCACCTGCGATCACCTCGATTAGTCGCATCATCATCACCATCATCATCACAACGCTGAGCACACTGGAAGTGACACAGTCCAGCACACCAGCAGCAGCCACTTAAAGACACTGAAGGGCTGGGGGGGGGGAAAGAGAGACGGTGAGATTAGATGGATGTATTCCCCTCCAGATTAAATCCCTCGTTTAGTAATCCGATTAAGAGCCACTTGCATTCGTGTGAGTGAAACAGCCTAATTTGTTGTAGGGTGGAGAAAACAAGCGAAAGTGGTCCCTGCCTCTTTTCACACAGGCGAGCTCCTCTCCTCTCAGGGGAAGTAACGGACATGTAGCGGCAACATCCTTCACCAAAAACCGCGTTTTATTTATTTATATATTTATTTCAAATCTCCAACACTTAGGTCCCAAACCTGTCTTGTATCTTCCGATAGCTGTGGTGTTTTATCCAGTGAGAAAACGGTCATTGATAAAAATGTTGTGAGGTGTCAACAGCCGCTGGAAGCTGATTTCGGGGGGGTTTTTTTTGGCTAATGAGTCCTCCTCCTCCTTCGGTTCATCTCCCCATCAGATCCATGGCACAACTGCTGTCTTGTCAAGCCCGTCAGCCGATGGTTGTTTCAGTCGGTGCTGTCTCCGTTACTGCCAACGCGTTTATACAATGTTTTTTTTTTAAACAAAAACAAAAACAAGAAAACAGAAGAGCATGTCCAAATTTCATACACAGAGGGAAGGGGTAAATTTTCAGGTCGAGGTAAGTCTCCAAACGTAAAGCATAGTGTGTGGTGTGAGCGGGAAAAAAACGGCTAAGTTTAGTTGGTCGTCTCGGGGTTGTCTTCAAGGAGTGAACAGGGGAGACAATGAGGACCGGGATGGACCAACGGACCGAGAGAGACAGCCGAGAGAGGAGCGTCTCCCGCCTGCCATCTGTCAAGTCAAATACCTCGGTACAGTGGTGCTGTTCCGGTGGGGATTTTCAAAGTAAAAGTGGACATAATTGGCAAAACTTTCACTTGCCATTAATTAAGTACACGTAGTTATTACCAGGTTGGCCTCTCTCTTGCTTTTAGTACTGCCTTAATTCTCCACAGATTCAAAAAGGTGCTGAAAACATTCCTCAGATTGGGTCTGGATTGACATGATAGCATCACAGACCTGCTGCACATCCATGATTTGAAGCTGCAGTTTGAAATGATTTGAGCTTAGTGGCATGATGATTTGTCCTGTTGGAAGCAGCCATCAAGAGATGGGTGCACTGTGGTCATCAAGGGATGGGCCTGGTCGGAGACAAATACTTACTTACAATACTTAAGATGGTCAGTTAATTTAAGTTACTTTAAATCATCTTTCTAACAAATGGCGCAATGATCAAAAAAGCAAAAGCACAGTATAAATGCAAACAGCATAGCAAATATCAGACTACACTGGTAACAGTTTAAGTGTAGCAAACAGCGCAAAGCAAACAGTATCTTAGTGTGTGCTAAGTGATGTAAGAGTGCAGGGTTCAGTTTAAACTGTTTACTGTCTGTCCTTCACATTACCTATTCCCAACCTTTAACCTGCATACTCAGCAGTTTACAGAGTGCATCACAGTTACACTAGACATGAAAGTGTTTTTACTTTAAAGCAGGTGGAGTACCACGCTGCTATCAGGGCTAATAGCACTTTATAATATTCTCTATAATTTTATGTATTTTCTGATGTAATTATATTTACCTGCAAATACTTACCAGTATATACACTAAAATAAGTAGGTAACGTATCAAGTATTTCCAAGAAAGAGCAAATAATGATACTGCAAGTAATTTCAAAGAGTGAATAACATCTGGCTAATTTAGTATAAAAACAAATTTCCCCATCTTGTATTGTAAATATGCTGTCTTTATAGGGGCCGGCTGTATTATGCAGTGGCTTAACTTTGCTTTTATTTGCATATTTATTGTACATCATACTGATGTGCATCATGGATGTTGCACTATTCAACTGACCTTTTATATCACATATAAAATGTTGTAAGGACTGATCTTCCTTTCCTCCTTATAAGGATATAAAAAATAAACATCAGCATGCATTGGGCATAGGTATAGGACCATTTGATCTTATAAAGACAGATCCAAGTGAGATTTGATTTTCTTCTGTCACAACAGTTCAACAGCTGTGGGAGAAAGAAAACAAAAAAAGAAACAAAAAAAATAAAGTCCCTTAAAATGCAATGTATTAATTATTACCCCCCCCCCTATTCTAGTGAATATACTGCTAAGTATTTGTAGGTAAATTTTTAAAAAATGGGATAGTTTGTGCAGTGGCCTGCAAGAACTTTTTTCAGCAATTTTACACATTCATCATGTAGAAAAACTGAGATATGCTGTTGAAGCTGCACTTCTTTACCCTACATTAAGGTACCTTATTAAATGTGCAGTTAAACGCCTTTACGCTGACAGAAAGCGGAGTTTCACTCGTCTTGCATGCTTAAGATCAAAGGGGGCTGCGTGTGACCTTTTTAAAATGACTTTGACTTCCCTGCCCTACGATAACAGGGATGATACATTATAATACAGTACCTGTGATAGTGTAGACATTAACTACTTTTAATCAGCTTCAGTCAGTCCAAAATTTAAAACCAGTATACGGTTTACAGTGGCATGTTTTTAAGCACACAATAATACGCATTATAATAATAATAATTATTATTTTATAATAATAAAATATTTTTATATTTTAAAAGTTGAAATCATTCAAGCAAATTTTGCTTAGTACAACAAATTTCAGTGCATTATATGTTCCCGTTTTTAAACATTGGTTTTATTTATTGGACTTTTATTTTGAAGGCAGCCTAAGCCATCCTGCCGCCGTGCTGTATCTGAGCCCGGCGGACTTGATGAGGCTGATGTTCTGCTCGGCAGGGGAGCGGCGCGGTTCTTTCACTCCCTGAAACACAAACATGTAGAGAGAGACGTAGCCCTGGTCGGTGTGCAGCTGCTCGTGAGCATGGCCTTTAACCATCATCGTGAATCTCTCTCTCTCTCAGTCGGCTGTCCTCTCTGAGCTGTCAAGATAATCATTTTATCCTCATTTCTCATTCACTTAATTGAAGTCTGAATGGTTTTCTGATAACCTGCTATTAAGTCTAAACATTTTAAAGAGGAGGGGGAAATGGTGTAGCTTATTAAAATAACTCGCAAATATCTATAAATTGTTGGAAAGAGCCTTGGGTGAACACTTTGGAGGGTTATTGTCTAATTTATAAATGGCACTTAGTTTCTGCTCAGCGGCTCTGTGTTGTTTTCACAGTGCCTGTGCAATCCAGCAGAGGCTTTCCAGCTACCAACTGCAGCCAAATGAAGTTTCAAGAAGCTCCTCGAAATAAGCAGTTTGTTCCTAATTAAAGACTTATAGAATCTGTGTGTGTGTGCATGTGTGTGTGTGCGTGTGTGTGTTGTGGGGTCGCTTGTGCCACGCCTATAAAATGGCCAGCAGTTTAAGCAGACACAGAGGTGGAGAGGCTATCACTCCTTTTGCTAGACAACATAATGGCCCGCTTTCCCCTCACCATCAATCTCTGTCACAGTCTGCCCCTCCCACATGCACCCAAAACAACACACACATCCAGGTACACACCAAGCATGCACAAGCAAATGCAAACACACACTCGTTCCAGCCACACGCAGTGGGACAGGAGTTTAATTATGCCTCTAATCTTGAGTGACAGTAGCATGTATAATGGCTGACTCCCTGGGGCCATGTGTCGAGGCATCCACCCATTCATCCACCCAGCCCTCCTTCTATTTATCATTTACTTACTTAGTCATCCATCACTCCATCCACCAATATTTCCACTCAGGTTCTCGCTTATAGTCAGCCTCCTTTTTCTTAACCACTCCCAGCTCCTTCTCAACCTTTCCTTGTGTCTTTTCTGAGGCCTTTGTAGAAGTCGGCTTTCCTAATTCTCCCTGTCACACATCATCTGCTCTTTAGAAAAGCCTTCTGGACGGGGCCAGTTGGGCCTGTACCCACAGAGGCTCTGACCACTGAAAGCGAGGCCCCGTGTGGTTCAGGGGTGAGTAAAGAACAAATCTCCCCTGCGCATGTGTACACATCTTATATGTGATTTTAGCAGATATGGGAGGTAAGAGTAAAGTCTGAAATGAGGAGCTGTGAAATAGTTAATCCAGAGATAAATTACAAATTCATCAGCAAGCGATTATTTGCAGAAACTGTGGAAAAACAAGAAGAAAACCCCCCCAACAGATTCCAGCTCATTAAATGTGAATATTTTCTGGTGTTCTTTGTTGTCTCTGATTGGAAATGGGATATCTTGGGGTTTTAAACCTCCAAACAAAACAAGAGGCATCATTTGATTAAGCAAAAAATAATCTGAAGATTAAACCTTAATGAAGAAAAACAAAATCATCAGACTTTAACTATGGGAAAAGGCCAATTTTGCTGTGAAAAAGTCTGCATGACTTTTTTCCTCAAAACTGAAAAGCAAGAACAATTGTGAGTTGAATTTAATTTTATGGTTTGGTAAACGAAATATTGCAAGGATATCTTGCCCATGTTGGCAGAAAGATTTCATTTGTTTTTCAAGATTTCTTGCTGTTTCAGAGAGGGTAATCAATCGTATGGAAAATAAAATTCATTGGACTGTGTGGTGTTTACCCACTGATCAGGTTCCAGCTTTCCTTCCATCAGTCTATCTGGATTCAGTGAAATAGTGGGTTTAAACTTCAAAAGAAACCACACACACAAAAAGAAGGAAATCAAGAAGAAGAGGAGGACAAAAAGCAAGCATAACAATGCTAATTTAAAAGAAGTGCAGACACAGATGTGTTAGATAGCACCTTGCACCCTGTCTGTTGGAGAAAATTGAGTACACATCACCCAAACTGTGCGGGTACGGTTGTGAAGTAGTATTTATGCTCTTAGTTTTTATTAAAGCTTCACTGTCAGGGGCTAGCATGGATGAATAGACATCCGTGACTAGTCCTGAGTCTCCTTAGATATGGATTTGAAATCCAAATAAACAAATATCACCACAAAAAATACAGTATTTTACCATTTTGGGCAGATTTTTATGCTTTTAATCAACACTGCTGGATTACTGGTATTCTGCTTCAGGACTTCAGTGAAAAATTAAATTGAAAGTGGCCTGTTTTTATTTATTTATCTTTAACTTATATCACTTTTAAAGCTATTGGGCTGTCGTTCGGTTTCTTTATATGTTCTTTATATGTTATTATTTTATCAAAGCAAAGCAAAGCTTTTAATTTGATTCATTTGTACTTGAAAAGATAAGATTCATAATGCTGGTTGGTTTTAAAGTAAGCCTTAGCATTTTAATAAATACTTTTCACCACCTGAACAACTTAATTGTTCAGTTTCTTTGTTAAAAAACATTATTTTAATTCTAGTTCTATACTTAAATAATGCATCAAAGACTGTGATGAAAGGGGAGAATTATTTGCACAGTTTTGATGGGCTAATTTATACCTATTAGGCTTTGCCATCTTCATCAAAAGGCTCAAATATGTTTTGCAGCTACATGCAAATTTGTTTGTTGGAAACATTGCTCAAATATAGCTCCTTTGATATAAAAGGTTGCTGAACCCTGTGATAAATGAGGATGCAGTAGGAGAAATAATTATTTGAAGTAAGTTTGCTCACTTCCAAAGGAATGAACAGTCTCTAATTTTAATGGTAGTTTCATTTTAATGGAGAGACATAATATCAAACAAAAATTAAGAAGAAACACATTGCAGGAAGTTATAAACTGCGTGTCATTGAGTGAAATAAGTGCTTGATCTCTGTAATCTGATTACAATCAGCTGATTACAGATACTAATGATCCCAACTTGTCATGTGTATACAGTACATCTGTCCACTATCATGCAAAACCAAATGACCACAAAGAACACCATCCTGGGAGGGAAGCGTGGAGCTGGAAACATCATGCTTTGGGGTGTTTTTTATGTTAAGGGTACAGGATGACTTCACCAAATTAAAGGGCCAATGAACAGGGCCATTTATTGTAAAATCTTGGATGAAAAAATCGGGCTCCTTCCCTCAGCCAGAACCCTGAAGATGGGTCGTAGATGGATCTTCCAGGATGGCAATGACCCAAAACATGCCGCTGAGATTTTGTTGGT